GAGGAAAGCTCCTCTTTCCTCAGCCTGAGAAGCAGGAGACCAGGGATATTCCGAGTCTGAACTCCTGCCTGCTGAGGCATTTCACTTGTAAAATGTGCTGGCTGGTATTTTTCTCAGCGCGGACTCTTCTGACTTTGAAGCCCTCGATTATGGCGGGGCGGTCGTTTAAAGCACTGGCTTTTCCTCTGGAGATGACGCTCTTGGCGTGCGGCTCCTTCCCTCACGCTAGAATAACCCTGACAGCTCTGTCCGCGTGAATTGATCTGATCTCTCGAGGTCCTTATGGCAGCACTGAATTGCCTTAATGGGAGGATGTGGCACAACTCGTACGGTCCTTTCAACTTAATACTCTCTGATAGAGCCACGAGAGCACGGGGCCGGGGCTGTAATCGCAGCCGAGCCCTTTCAATTCCCTGGCTGCCTGTGACTTTGGCCGGGTTATTGGCCCTCCGTGTACCTCGTACCAGCTGGGCAATTAAAGAGCAGAAGGATTCTAGTGAGAACCAGATGCTGCATCAGAGCTGAGCATTCCTGGGTAAATAAACTATCCCAAAAATCCCAGCAGCAGAAGTACCAGGCTGGATTTTAATGTTGAATTGCAGGGTTTTTTTCTGTATAGCAAACTGCTCTGCTTATGCCTCAGAGGGCTGAAGAACTGCCAACATTACTTACGCCGGTGACATAACGTACGAGTCCCTCGCAGCCGGTTCTGATCCGCTCTTTCCTCCTCTAGTGCCTCAGACAACATCCCCAAAGCCGATGAGATTCGAACGCTGGTGAAGGATACCTGGGACACCCGGATAGCCAAGCTGCGGCTGTCTGCGGACAGCTTCGTCAGGCAGCAGGAGGCTCACGCCAAGGTGCGGCGGGGACGCGCGGGGAGAGGTTTGCCAGCTCCGCGCTGGGAGGATTCCAGATGCCGTGTGATTGTGTGGGCTTGTGACTGATGAGAGCTGCTCGTGAAAATGCTGGTTGGGGCATGTTTTTCCTGGGCTGTGGGTACGTCAGTTGGGAGCTAAAGCCGTATGCTGAAACCTGGCTTTATGGGCTAGCGTTATGGAAATAGCGCTCTCGTTGCTCGCGTGCTTCTCTTGACCGGGGGTGGCAGCTGGGCTGGTCCCTTGGGGTGTCACCGGAGGAAAAGCGTGGGCTGCCGAGCTGCTTTCCGAGTTCCTTGTCCTCTGCTGCGGCAGGGCTGTTTCCCCACATTCTGCTATTTTCTCTTTTAGCTGGATAACTTAACCTTGATGGAGATCAACACGACTGGGACTTTCCTTACTCAAGCCTTAGATCACATGTACAAGCTCCGGACTAACCTTCAGCCTGGCGAGAGTGCCCGCTCCCAGGATTTCTGAGGTACTAGCCACGCTAGCCCTCAAACCTCCCAGGAGAGAGCAGTGGAAGGGAGCAGGCTCCCCTCCTCGCCCCTGGACCTTCATCTGGCCAGCCTCCACCTCCCCGCACCTGAAGGTACCTCCACCTCCCTGCATGGATCTCCTGAAGCCACCCAAGCCTCCTCGGCAGTAGCTGCGGGCAGGGGAGAGAGCAGGCAGCCTCGCAGCCAGCCGGGAATCGCTCCAGAGCTGCCGATGGCACGGGAGCATCCCTGCGCGGTAGCTCCTACGCGCTCCCTCTTTCCAGAGGTGGGCCTCTCTCTTGGGTTCCCGAGATCTGCTGGGTGCAGGTGGTGGCTTGCCAGCGCTAGGCTGCTGTCTGATGATGTCAGGCCCTGGAGAGCGTGGGTGTACTTCATAGAGGGAACTTCTGAGGGCAGCACAGGCCACACACTGGCTTGAAAGCAATAAATTTCTAGGCGGTGCTTCGCCATGAATTTTCTCAGAGCCTTGAAAAGGGGGGAAGGTGTGCGGGCAATGAGAGGTGTCTGCTGCTCTGCTGGGGAGATCAGCTGGGAAGCAGATCCATCTGCTCTTTGGAGAAGGACAAAAGAAAATGGCTTTCCCTCTCCAAAGCCAGGCTGTCTTGTAATATCATACGTCTGCCTTTATTTTTCTGTGTTTTTTTTAAATCTGAAACTGTGTATAAAAAATAAAAAACAAATAATTGCAGCTGAGTGAACGGCATCAAATTAGTCCCCGTGTTTTGTCGCGCGCTGCGCGTCAAGCGTACGTGGGTTAAACAACGCTTGGAAAAACCCGCAGCTCTCCTCCTTTGGCTCGGGCCCCGTTCCCCTGCAGCAGACCGACCGACAGGCGAGGGCAGGATCCTCGCCGGCGTCGGGTTGTGTTGATGGCAGATGTAATTAGTACGGGCAAGGGGGAAATGCCGGCTCGAACCCAAGGGCGGCTGCAAGCCGGGGGCGGTGCCCCTCCACGTTTTTTTTTCCGTCCCCCTGCAGCAGACCGACCGACAGGCGAGGGCAGGATCCTCGCCGGCGTCGGGTTGTGTTGATGGCAGATGTAATTAGTACGGGCAAGGGGGAAATGCCGGCTCGACCCCAAGGGCGGCTGCAAGCCGCGAGCGGTGCCCTTCCCGGAGCATCTGGGCCAGCCTCCGCGCGGCTCCTGCCTGCCATCTGTGCCCTGCCTGCCTCCGCCGCTTCCCCCGGCGCTGCCCGCAGGCGAAGGGCTCCCGCAAGGCGAGGAGGGCAGGAGCTGCCCCCGGGGAGGCTGGGGGATGCTCGGAGCAGGGCTGCTTTCCCATCGCCGGTGGCGGGGGAGAAAGAATCCTTTGCCATCTTGGTGGAAGAGTTTATTTTTGTTTTTTTGGATGTTTTCAGAAATTACAGCAATATATTCATAAATACCTAATTACTACATTCAACAAATAATATATTACATTACAATTAATTCAAACAAGTACACTTAGAACATGTTTAGGGTTGTTTTTTTTCCTCCTTTTTGGGGTTTTTTTGTTTTGTTTTCTTTCACAGCATCTAAACTGCCCCCAGCGGGCTCTGCTCCTGCCTTTCCCTCCTCGCAGCCCTCCCAGGCTCTGGCGCAGCTGCTCCAGCGACTCTGCACGGGGTACGTACAGACAGACACAGCCGCTCGCCGCGGCCCTGGGGGGAATAATGCTGAGAAATGGGTCCAAACTACGTGATTATGGGCTGGTGAGCGGGGAAAGTCGGCACAGGAGCTGCTACGAAGCGAGGCTCCCTCCCGGCCAGGCTCCTGCCCGTGGCCTCGCCGTGGCACAGCGGTGGCGAGGGATAAATTGCCGATGATTTTCCATCCCTGGCTCCTTTCCCCCGCCTCCGCCACAGCACACGGGAAGGGAAAAAGCGAGCAGCAAGCGTATTTTGCCGTGTTAAAATTCATTGTGAAGCCCGGAGTTGGCAGCGGCTAGGCCAGAGGCTGGCGATGCAATTGAGGATTTAAAAAAGATTAAACTAATTTCTGTCACAAGGGCATTTTGCTTTTTAATCTTGCACAGCTTTTTTTTTTTTTTTTTGGTGAAGCCAATGGGAGACGGGGAGGGGTAGGGGGGGTTAATGCTTTCTTTGCGAGTGCAACAAGGGAATTTAAAGCAGAAAGCAGAGGTCACCTTTTCCCGTAGACGTGAGCTTGTCTCCTGGCAAATTAAAAAAAAAAATCATAAATAATTTAAAAATAATAATAATAAAAAAGCCTCCCCGGGGAGCTGGGGCACGCGATGATTACAAAGTGGCTAAAAACGGCGCGGCGTGAGCCGCAGGAAGGAACCGGCCGAGAGACGGGC